CCAAAAATCCTCCAAACCAACGCATGCCGGGCCCTGATCCCGGCGTTATGATCGTATGCAGTACTCCGGCCAACATTTTTACAATAGAAAGATGATGTTTGTTTCGGGCATGCGTTCAGATGGCGCTCCAGACAGCGATGGCAGCGTCCTTCGTTGTCCAAGATAGCTATGCGGTCTGTAATAGAAGTCACTCTTGGGCATCCATCCGAGTAATGTTCACCGAACTCTTTGCAAGAGATGCACATGATGTTCTGGCCTGTCTTCAATCCTCCACCCCCTATTCGTCATGTCGAACATGAAATGTGGCGCAGTTCAGTCCGTGTTCTTTCGAATTCCTCTTCGTAGTTGGCCAGAAGCTGTGCTGACGCCGGTCTGTTGTCTTCCGTTCCGAATGCTTGCGTTTACGACCTTCTGCTTGACAATGTCCCTTGCCGTAGCTGAAGCTCTCTTTCCTCGTTCTACTGCCGCCTGTGGATTGAGAGCGTCTGCGTTCTCGACGTCGATCTTCCGGCGATACTTCCTCTCTAGAGTGGGAGCGTCTGTGTTCTCGACGTCGATCTTCCAGCGATACTTCTTCTCTAGATTGGGAACGTCTGTTTTCGACGTCGTTCTTCCGGCAATATTTCTCTGCGATGTCCAGGTCCTTCCCTCGAGATCTCGTCCGTCAGCTGATTCAGAAACTCCGAGTTCTCTCTACCTCTACGCTCGGTTTCTTCCTCAAATTGGACGCCAAGCCCTAACAGCTGCTGCTCTACGCAAGAAATCTTTTGCTGTAGTTGTCCCAGCTGTAAGTCGAGTTCTGCCTTCATGTCCTTCGTACACTCCTTTCGCTTTATCAACATTTGTTTGGCCGCGTGTTTGTAGGCCTCTTCAATCCATTTCCGAGTGTGTTCGTGTTGCTGATCGACTTCACGTTTGAGCTGTGAGATTTCTTCCTGAATATTTGCTGCTGTGACATCCATGTGGCGTGATTCTCTTTGGCGGCGCCATTCTTACGAAAAGGTTGTGAGACTTTGTTGGACTTCCTGATAGGCTCGCATTTCTGCCGCCCTACTCCTGGTGGTTTCTTGCT